ATTGGTTTCAGCAAGACCAATCATATCAAACGAGTGCCCTATACTTTTGAGTTCAATTAGGAAGCTATCAAAGTTAGATGCGTTTCCATCTATATTGTAGAATAAAGTTGATAACATAGATTTTTTTGAGGAATTGAGCTGCTTGATTGCATTTAAGAACTTGAGTTTAGAGTAGCGACGGCAACGTTCAAGTACAAGGGCATATGATGCAATTAAGGCATCTTCCTGGTTTCTATTATCATAGAATCTATCAGAATCTATAGATTCCTCATCAGATGGAAATGGGCAGTACCGTTCCTCTGCAGAACTGGCACACTCGCAGCACATCCATAGTCCATTTTTGCATGAGTATTTAGCTGATTTGAAACACTTAGTATGGATGGCATTATTACAGTTTTCACACTCTAGTAAAGGTTGTCCGATGTAAATAGATCTACTACATGGCTCACACACATCTTTAATCATTTTCATAATCATTTTTACTAAGTGGGGTTGTTAGACCCCACTGACTGGTTGTGTTTTCCACGTCTTGTCCGCTCTTGCCTCTCTCTCACATACACCCAATGCTTCACACATCTCACAAATTTGGTAATACCATAAACTCCTAAATGAATATCATCACCACCTCTGGTCAGGTTGGTGGCAAGGAGTCCCCTACTATCTAAGAAGTGGCCAACTCCAAGGTGCCACACACTCTGGTTGAAGTTGGCACTTAACATTTCTCCAACAAGCCGATTGAAGGTCATAATGTTTTTGTTCATTTGAGGCAATCTTGATGGGAGGACTGCTGCGACAAATATTTTGATACTTGGGCAGAGCTTTCTTATCTGTTGAATCTTCAAGTGGAGAACGTCAACCAGCTGATGGATTTCATTCTCTCCTCTAAGGTTTTCTACCCGGAGGTCATTGGTACCACAAACGATAACAACGTTGCTGTACCCAATGCAGCGACAAGGGTCAATCAAACTGACTTTACCTGCCTTGACTCTTTCACCATAATGTTTGGTAAAGTAAAAGTAAAGTTTTACCTGCCTTGACTCTTTCACCATAATTTTTGGTAATGTAAAAGTAAAGTTAAGTAAAAATTGTGACATCATCACTAATGTCTACAAAGTATTATCGCACTACATGGAAAATAACCATTTTTCCATCAAATTTAAAGGTAATAATTTATCAAATATTAATCATGAATAAAAACAACATTAAAAAATGTAATTTATTCATACTTCCCAGCGGAGTAAAGATTTATAAAACGTTTCTTTGCTACACAAGGATGAAACCACAGATAATCATTGTGTTTTTCCTTAGGGGTCGTTCACATGTTACATAATCATTTTTTTGGAACATAATCAGTTTTACACATAGCTATTGTGTCAAAATTACACAAGCGTAATCATTCGGAAACCCCCCCCCCCCCCACTCAGCTGATTACGTTTTATGTGAACGACCCCTGGCCCTTATTACTGATATAACTGGTACCTTCAATTCTTGTTAAAACTTCTTTCAAAAATTCCAAAAATGATCCAATTTGAAAAACTCAAAACTGACAAGCAGTTCTTCACCTCCGAAGGGAGTTTGATCCAATAAGGAACAACCCGCTCTGGAAGAAAAGAACACTGAAGATTCTTGACCTTTGTCACACTCTTACTGCATCTATTGGATGAAACCAGATTAAGACCTGATCTGCTTGGTCTGAACAAGTCTGAACCATAATCAGTCAAACCATTAATAACCTCAAAAAAGCTTCAATGAGGTCCCCACGTATTGGTGATTAAGAATAGAACTTAAAGTTCACAATATACATGCTTAATTGATTAAAATAAAATAAAAAACAGATGGTTGCTAACAAATTGTATAGAAAGGAACTTACACTCAACCTTCTTCTGGCATAAAGAACCAGATATCATTTTTTAAACCCGGCCCCATACTATATATACTGTCACTGAAGCCTGAGATCATTTTGTAAATCACATATTATTCTAGTGAAACTTTTTTAAATCTGATAGAATTGTTTAAAAGGCACTTATTTTCACACTAAAACAGCTATATATATATAATATGAATATGTAACGAAATTGACCATTGCCCACACACAGTAAGGTGTATAAAAAGAAAAAGCAAATGATTAAAACTGAGTATTGAACAGTGTTCAAAACGATGTGCGGCTTTTGGAGCCAAAAAGCATGAAAGCAGCTAATTTGAGCCATAACTTAATTTCTGATAATAGGGTGCAATTCTATATTGAACGTTTGTGTTCTGGTACATTTGTAAATGCTGAAATCGATTTTAATGTTGTAGCGCTATCCACTACTAGGGCTGCGCCGCGCATTCAATAGTTGATAATGCACTCCGAAACCATCATATCGGCGAGATCGGCAAAATGCACCACTGGGCGTTTAGGCCTCGCCTTGACGGATGTTACTCGTCTAAATTTCTTCGAAGTAGCGCTAAACTAGTTTATTAACAATGGACAAAGCCTCGAGCTGTGAAGGATTGCAGATTGACATCGTGAATACTGAATATCAAATTTTGACAGTAATTATTTAAATATGAAATAATGTGTAATGGTTGCGAGAAGCATAATTGAGTGCGCGGCGCCGTCCTATAACGGATCGCGCTACAAGGATAACAATTAAAGCTTACTTTGTCCCTAATTTTGCTCCTGGGCAGCTAACTTTAGTTTCACGTGACGAAAACTTTGCCATTTGCTGAAAACCGGAGGTCAATACTCATTTTACTTTTCACTTTTAGGGATTGGAAATAAACTTTAGTAGGGGGTGCACTTGTAGCGCGATGCGTTGTAGCGCGATGCGTTACTGTGCCGCGCCGCGCACTCAATAAGGCTTCTCACAGCGAGATGCGCTACTGTGCCGCGCCGAGCTGCCATGAATTGACATCGTCAATTAACGCGATGCGTTACTGTGCCGCGCCGAGCTGCCATGAATTGACATCGTCAATTAAGGTGTGCACGATAAAAATAAACTTGCTTGGATTTTAAAAATTTTTGTACCACTGTTTTCTAGAGACTGTGAGAATTTTCACAATACCAAGATCAGTGAGTTTCGCAGTTGACCATTGTTAATGATTTGGCCCGGCGCGCGCTACTTCGTAGCTCGTGCCGTCGGGCACATTTCGAGAAGAAAGCGGCGCGCGCTACTTCGAAGAAATTTAGACGAGTAACATCCGTCAAGTTTCGCAGGTGCCATATTTGATGGTGCGCGGCTTTCGGAACAAAAGTAGCTGTATTGTAAAAGTCTTACTGGGCCGCGCTCAGCCTGTCATTCCGCCGAGTCTCTATTCGGTATTAGTGCTTTTTATGCAACAAGTAAAACAAATCCTTTATGTCATGTTTCCAGGGTTTGGACTGGAATTGCCCGCTTAAAGAACCTCCATCGCGTTACATTACATAATTTTCTCAATAAATGTAATAGATTTGTAGTGTTGTAATTAGTTTAAAACTAATTATGTTAATAAACATAATAGCCTGAGTAGTCCTCAGGTATAGTAATAAATGTCGCGTAATTTGACCAAATTCGTTGATTTTTGTCGTATTATTCGGATTCATGATATATCTTCGGTTCGTTGAATGCGATCATTCTAAAAATTGGCGACGACCTTTTAATAGGGCTATCACACCTGTCCGAAAAATTTGGTGGATATCGGAGTTGATATAGTGATTAAAATGGGGCAAAATACGCTGCTTTTAGCTGTAACATAATGCTTGATGGTTGGATATCCTTTAAATTTTTCGGACACTTTCCTTGTAAGTCTATGAGTAAGCTTACCAATTTTTGTTGCAATTGGAGATCGGGAAGTTCACCTAACCATGTGCTTTCGCGCCACTGCAAGCGCAAGGGCTCTGGATAGAACAAGTCGGGAAGGATATTTAATATCTATTTGTTTGAAGAAAATTGCAATTTTCTTCAAACAAATAAATATTGTTTGGCCGAAATTAGCGCTAAAACCCATATATCCTACAGTCGGCACGCGCGGCTCACTGTCGATGGTGCACTACCTAACAGTAACAGTAGCCAGTAGGGTTTGCTGGGAAATTAAAGTGATTTATGAATTATCGATAAGCACTTTCAGTTGTTAACGGGTGATACTCGTAATATATCTGTTCCATATATGGAACTCGGCGCGTGTCCTGGTAGGTTGTAAATCTACAACATACAATTTCAGTTGACGCTCCTACCAATTCGCTCGCCCAAATCTTAAGAAAATGCTTGTGAACAGCCCCCTTGGGTATGAAATTAATATGGTTAGGTGTAGTGTAGTTTTGGACGCTGAGTTCGAATCACCCCCATGACGTAAGGTAAAAATGCTTCTCTGGAGAGTTATGGGCAAAAAACCGTTTTGGTCAGTGGTCACGTGACATGCTAATAAAACACGAGTTCGATCGTTTATGGCTCGGGTTAGGGTTAGGCCTAGGGCTGTGTTAAGAATAAGGGTTATGGATAGCTTCGGGGTTATGGTTAGGGTTAGTGTTGTAGCGCGATGCGTTACTGTGCCGCGCCGCGCACTCTATGAGGCTTCTCACAGATCGGCGAGAAGCGCTACTGTGCCGCGCCGAGCTGCCATGGATTGACATCGTCAACTAAGGGTTAGTGTTGGGATTAAGGTTTATGTAAAGCCGTTTTGTACGGCTGCAAAACCATAAAAACCAAAGTCACGTGAAATTTTTGGGCGAGCGAATTAGTAAGAGCCTTCAGTTGACCAGATGTTACAAAAATTGTACAAATATTATGATAAAAGTTGAAACACCCAGGCCCAGTAGAAGAATAAATGAAATATAAATGCATCGATAGACTTGGATTTAAGTCTTTCTTTGAAGAATAAAAGCTTATTGTATAATGAATCTCATCAATTAGTTTATGGCTGGAATTGTATCTAAATATATTTGTGTACCATCAGCATTTCAATTGTTAATGGCCATCTGGGTTCAAAGGTTGAGGACTACAAATGGCCATTCGTCCTGAACTATATTAGAATCCAAGTTTTTAGAGACACCACAAGCCTTCTTGATAGTACTGGAGAAAAGGAAGATTTACTGCTGCGTAAATAACGGGGCTTGAAGCCACGCCGACCATTGCAAAGATCTCTCCAAAAATTATCATTCCCGGATTTGTTGGCACATTGAGCCTCTCCAAAAGATGATCCAAAGACAGGGGAATCATAGTGATGATGAAGATCACAGCAACAATCACCACGCTAGCCACCGTCTTGTTCCTCCGCAGAAAGTTAATGAAGCGTCTTCTCCGAGATATATGTGGACGTTGGAAGTGCACCTCACGTTCTTGTCTCCTTGCCCTCATACCTCGTGCTATATGGCTTATTATCACCAGTGAGGCAAGAAGAATAGAAATAATCACACCAAGGAATGAGAGAAGCGCGTATCCCTCCCAATTCAGTGCCTTCTTCAGGTAGATCTCAGCATTGCAGGACAGGCCAGAGAAGGCTGTTTGGTCACTTCCCATTAATCCTATTGTGTTGAGGAGAAGTGAGAGAGGCAGTAAAGCTATTACCGTCTTGATGGAGCTTCTTTTTGTCATTACCATACCTCTGAAAGGAAAGCACATTGTAAATGCTTTGTGTAAGCAGAGCAGAATCACCGAGAAAAGCTTCATGTAGAAAACTGTGTGCTTTATCAGTGCTATCACGTGACAAAGTTCACCCCCAAAGGGCCATTTATCAGCAAAGAAAACCCCCATTGTCGGAACACCATGCACCAGCAAAACCAGAATGTCAGTTGCGGCTAAACTGACCGTGAGTACATATTGTACCTTCTTATGTTCCAAAACACCCCGCTTAGGGAATGCGTGAAGCACCATCAAGTTTCCAAGGAAACCAAACAGCACGATTAGCGCGTAAAGTGTACTAAGCACGTACCAAAGTAAAAGGGGCACCATGAAAATGGTATGTAGATCAGTATTAAGATCCGGGTCTAGCGAAGTACCGACAAATAGTGGGACAAACTTCATTTTCAAGCTGCAAGATATGACTGATGTAAGAAACATTTTCAAAACATTTAAAGCAGTTATAATTGTATCGTGCTAACTGCAAAATCGACTGAAAGCTCACGAGATCTTATAGTAATCATTATTGATACACCTCTTCCGCAGGCCGAAAAAAGGTGTTTTTTCTTTCTTTATTTTTTGTGATAAGAGGTATACAATGTGTATCAATAAAATTATGATCATACAACATTTCGTTATAGTACAAAATCTTAACAGCATTCGTCAAACTGTGGAGACTGTAAATTCAGTCAACAGTAGTTACTTGTTGATGTTCTACCAGTATTATGCCATGATGCTATATCCAAACCTTACTATCCTATGATATATATATAATAGTTAAGTAGTTTATGTAATAGTAATACTACACCCTAATCCTTAATTAATGACTAAAGGTGGAAAGTATTAGCAATAGCATAAATATTACATATGTAAACCATATCATTTTCAGGAAATGTTGTAACTAACAAGATAATTCTTATACTTGGATCAGCTGCACAAAGAATAATATTTACCAAGAAAGAGAGACTGCTGCCGATGAAATTGAACACCATACATCCATAAATCATACAGCTAGCCAGATCGAGACTATTACAATCGAAAAGCGAAACTCGATGAATGAATGACATAGCTCGTGCTAAAGTCAGTCTCGCTATTAACTTATTAAGACTGCTAAATTGACTGTACCAGCTGTAGGATTTCGCTTTTGGATTGATATAATCGATCTGGTGATGAGTGCAAAATGGTTTTTTGGGCGGGGTGTACTTGTTGTAAAACTTTGCAACGATACAAATAAGTACAGTATAATTCTAAATTCTAGATAACTTTTTACCGTGCCTCTCAATACCCGGTATCTCGTTACACAGGGCCTCTTCTTTTCCACCAAACTTGAAGTTAAGTAGCTCGGGTACTGTATGAAAGTTCTGTAATACTGATGAATGCTGATTCTGGATGTATTATGGAAGTAATATAGGCGATCCTTATCATGTCATTGGTACAGGTTACGACAACATTCAGTGTTTACATTAAGGCCATTTTGATATAAGGAAGAAGACTTTAGTCAATCCTTTTGTTTTTTTTTACAATTTTTAAAAAACAGTGCTGGCGCGTTTTTAGCGCAAAATTTATAAAGATCTTGACATATTGACAATTTTGTATTCAACTTTAACATTGAATCAAAGTATTTTAAACTGAAAATGAAACTGCTGAACGACTTCTGATGAGTATAAAAAAGGATAAAAGGGAGTCTAACTAGGTCTAGGGGACACTCACACAGTGTTGCTTGCCAGCACTATGATTACATTACATGGGAATTAGGTCAAAGACCGACCACCGCTTAAGAGCCGGTTAAGAGCCGTTTAAGAGCCGTTTAAGAACCGCTTAAGAGCCGCTTAAGAACCGTTTAAGAACCGGCTAAGAACCGGCTAAGAACCGCTTAAGAACCGGTTAAGAACCGGTTAAGAGCCGGTTTAGAGCCGGTCAAGAGCCGGTGAGCGGCCGCTTAAGAACCGTCTAAGGACCGCTTAAGAACCGCTTAAGAACCGTTGAAGAACCGCCTCTAAAACTGCATTTAAACAACCTAAGAACCAACTTAGGGCCGTTTAAGAACCGGTTAAGAACCGGCTAAGAACCGGTTAAGAGCCGGTTAAGAACCGCCTATAGAAAACAGATTTATAAATCTACTAATAAACTTAGATCCGGATAAGAACCGGCTCTTAACCGGTTAAGAACCGGTTAAGAACCGCCTATAGAAAACAGAAATATAAATCTACTTATCAACCTAGAGCCGGATAAGAACCGGCTCTTAACCGGTTAAGAACCGTTGAAGAACCGTCTCTAAAACTACATGTAAACACCCTACACCCGGCCCAGCACATTTGAACTCCCCCGCTCCCTCTCTTGTATTTACCCTCGCTCCCGGCCCAGCACCACTCCACTCCCCTGCTCCCTCTCTTGTCTTTACCCCCGCTCCCGGCCCCAGCGCCTCTCCACTCCCCTGCTCCCTCTTTTGTCTTTACTCCCGCTCCCCGCCCAGCACCTCTCCACTCCCCTGCTCCCTCTCTTGTCTTTACCCTCGCTCCCGACCCAGCACCTCTCCACTCCCCTGCTCCCTCTCTTGTCTTTACCCTCGCTCCCGGCCCAGCACCACTCCACTCCCTTGCTCCCTCTTTTGTCTTTACTCCCGCTCCCAGCCCAGCACCTCTTCACTCCCCTGCTCCCTCTCTTGTCTTTACCCTCGCTCCCGGCCCAGCACCACTCCACTCCCCTGCTCCCTCTCTTGTCTTTACCCCCGCTCCCGGCCCCAGCGCCTCTCCACTCTCCTGCTCCCTTTTTGTCTTTACTCCCGCTCCCGGCCCAGCACCTCTCAACTCCCCTGCTCCCTCTCGTCGTTACCCCCGCGCCCGGCCCCAGCGCATCTCCACTCCCCTGCTCCTTCTTTTGTCTTTACTCCCGCTCCCGGCCCAGCACCTCTCCACTCCCCTGCTCCCTCTCATCTTTACCCCCGCTCCCGGCCCCAGCGCCTCTCCACTCCCCTGCTCCCTCTCTTGTATTTACCCCCGCTCCCGGCCCCAGCATCTCTCCACTCCCCTGCTCCCTCTCGTGTCTTTACCCCCACTCCCGTCCCAGCACCTCTCCACTCCCCTCCCTCCCCATTTTAGACTAGGTTAGTAGTTTTTGACGTACGTAACAATGTTGGCAATAGCACCTCGCTTTTGTTATAATTGTATTGCTATTACTATTAGCATCTCGCCTGACGGCTCGACCCAATATCGCGATGCAAATCATAATATTTCATAATTGCATTTCTTAACGATTTTGACTCATTGATTATTCTGCGTGTTATTTAATAACATATTAACCACTCTAGCCGGTGGTTAATAAAATATTAACCACTCCAGCCGGTGGTTAATAAAATATTAACCACTCTTCTCGGTGGTTAACGCTAAAAATTAAATCACCTTGGTCGTGGTTGAATAAAGTTTTCCTCGATTGGAAATTTGGAAAATTTGAAAAAAAAAGTTTTTGCTCAAAATGATTGGAATCACATGAAACATGCAGAAATACAATTTTTAGAAAGACTTTGATTTTTTTTTTCATTTTGAAAATTTTGGGACCACGGTTGATAATCGGGCCGCGATGTTCTGGCCCACTCTGTATAAATGAAAGCATATTGAGGTGTTTTGTAGTGCAGCAAGGTATTATCGTGGCCTGTGTTACCAGTTAGACCAATATATTTGGGTCATGGATTCGCGGTTTTGAGGCACAAATATTTCCTTCCAAAATCCGCGAAACAGGGGGGTCTTATTGCATATTACGGTTTTAACTTTAAGTTACCTTATCGGTGCAGAAAGTTTTACGGTTATAACTCGTGAAGCAAGAGTTTTAACCGGAGAACTTTTAACCGGAAAACTTTTGGCTGGAAAATTTTCTACCGCCCGATGAATTTCTATGATTTTGGCTGTCAGCATTTCTTAGTATACTCATCATGTTATTAACATGTTTTATTTCAATAAAATTAAAACTTAGAAATCCAACTCAATTTTCATCGAAAATTCGCTAAAAAATCTTATTTGCTAATTATTGACCTATTTTTGCAAAATCGAGATTGAGGCAAACTTTTCAACGGAAAATTTTCCACCGATAAGGTATTCATACTCTTATAGTCGGGTATTCTATACCCTACATAGTACATAATAGCAATGCTTCGCGACGTGTTGGCATACCCTAACGCTATTATTTGAGAGAACCAGTAACCGGGAGCGGGGGTAAAGACAAGAGAGGGAGCAGGGAGTGGAGAGGTGCTGGGCCGGGAGCGGGGGTAAAGACAAGAGAGGGAGCAGGGGAGTGGAGAGGTGCTGGGCCGGGAGCGAGGGTAAAGACAAGAGAGGGAGCAGGGGAGTGAAGAGGTGCTGGGCTGGGAGCGGGAGTAAAGACAAAAGAGGGAGCAGGGGAGTGGAGATGCGCTGGGCCGAGAGCGGGGGTAAGAACAAGAGAGGGAGCAGGGGAGTGTAGAGGTGCTGGGTCGGGAGCGGGGGCAAAGACAAGAGGGGGGCCGGGTGTAGGGTGTTTAGAGACGGTTCTACAACGGTTCTTAACCGGTTAAGAGCCGGTTCTTATCCGGCTCTAGGTTGATAAGTAGATTTATAAATCTGTTTTCTATAGGCGGTTCTTAACCGGTTAAGAGCCGGTTCTTATCCGGTTCTTAACCGGTTCTTAAACGGCTCTAAGTTTATTAGTAGATTTATAAATCTGTTTTCTATAGGCGGTTCTTAACCGGTTCTTAAGCGGTCCTTAGACGGTTCTTAACCGGTTCTTAAACGGCTCTAAGTTGGTTCTTAGGTTGTTTAAATGCAGTTTTAGAGGCGTTTCTTCAACGGTTCTTAAGCGGTTCTTAAGCGGTCCTTAGACGGTTCTTAAGCGGCCGCTCACCGGCTCTTAACCGGTCGGTTCTTAACCGGTTCTTAAGCGGTTCTTAGCCGGTTCTTAGCCGGTTCTTAAACGGTTCTTAAGCGGCTCTTAAGCGGTTCTTAAACGGCTCTTAAACGGCTCTTAACCGGCTTTTAAGCGGTGGTCGCTGTTTGCCCTATCACAGTTTGCCCTATTCAGGTGCCTTAAAAACCATGTTAAAATTGAGTTAAAGATCTGAAATTTTTTAGGGCGTCTAGACGTTGACCAAATCGACTGCAAAAAAAGTTTCAGGTTTCAGGAGCATCGGGAAATGGGTTTTCTAGAACCCCTGTTTTACGACAGATTGTCGTGATATATACATATATTCAGGGATAGACGCTTTGACAGTCAAATGTAGTCAATTGTATCCTAAATTTAAGTGTCCATAGATTCAAAAGTATAAAAGATACAGCCATTTCCGACCACAGATCTTGAAAATAATTGTTTACACTTTAGTTTATATTGTATAAAAAAATTATTTGACGTCATAAACACCCCTTGATGACGTCATCAAGTTA